CAATGTAGAATCAAATGACGTTTCATACAAATAAATTTTACTCCCTTCCTTTCGTGATACAGAAGCAAAAGCATGCGATTTACTTCTGTGTTTCTACTCTGAGTAATCAGACTGAAACAAAACACAACTTATTGCTTAACATGTTAAAGGGAGTTGACTTGTGGGGAGGGGAACGATGAAAAGCCAAACATCCAAACCCTCCAGGATCCACCTCCATCTTCTGTTCCTCTCAAAAGAGAACAAGAAGGTACTTGAAATGGAATCTATTTAGTTCTCTCTCCATTACAGCTAAGCAAACAAGCGTGACACAAACGCACACCTGAAGGTATGCTGAAGGTGAGATGCTGCCATTTCAAAAATGTAACTTCTTGTAACTATAAAGATGGGAGGACCTATGTGGGAATGAAATGCCAACCACATTATAACCTAATTACACAAATAAGGCTACCAAAGGGTTACCACAATGAATTTGCTACTACTGCAGCGTAACTTCTCTGGAATTAAGGGCTTTCTTTCCCCCTTTTATGTAATTTATTTTAGTTTGCACTTCAGAGAAAGATCTAAGTGGAAATTGTTACCTGAAAATAATCTGCTAGCATTTCGAGCCATGGATAACATTATTTGAGACATGTCTTTGTAGCATAAAGCTAGTACTTTAATGGAAAAATCCTAAAAGAAGATTCTACCATTGATTAAAATGGCATCTTATTTCTAAGAGCCTTAATCCTCACTATCTTTTTCTTTAAAGGTTTCTTAGTACCAAAGCATGCTCTTATTCCTTTCAAAGTCTCCCACAGAATATAAAGCTAGGGAAAATGGGGCAGGGTTATACCTGATGTGAATTTTTTATTGCTGTCTCAATGCAGATGGCAAGCTTTGCAGAGATTTAATTCAAGATTTGATCCGTACCAACTTGGTTTGTTTTGAAGTCAGAAACAAAGATGACTTTTCTGACAGCTGTTATCACAAGGTTTGGGAGCCTCTGGTCTAGACAATACAATCACCTGGCTTTGACCTGAGTTACTTCCTCGTAAGAACAGCCACTGTGATGGCCAGGAAGTGGGACAGAGATTTCTTTCATTCTGATAAACACTGCCTGTTCTGAGGGCCAAACTGCTGCCTGTTTACCTCCCTCTTTTGCAATATGCAATTCATCCACTGTTTTCAATGTGGGGTTGTATTTGTGACCCATAAACTGTAGAATGCGAATGAGCTACAATATGTGAGGGAAAACCTGGGGAGGGAGGGAACAAATCAGCGTGGTGGAAAAAAAAAAAAAGATCTCAAATAATTGGCTCATTTGGGCAACTGCAACCAGCAGGTGACCAACCCCAAAATAACACATCATATGCTCTGCAATGTACTACCCTGCAAAGAGAAATGCTGCACTCTTAAGGGGTATTTGACTCTCCTCCTTTTCCGCAGAAGGTAAAGAATTGCACAAGTGGTATTTTCTAAACCACATTTATCTTGAAGTGAGGTTTACACCAAAAGACATTTTGACTTTCTGGAATCTCTTCAAAAACTCTTTTGTAAACAATTCTCAAATCACATCCCTGCTTCGGAAAAAGGCAAATTTCACGATGTTGTATGAAAAAAAAATCAGAAGAAGCTTTCATGTTGAACTTGGTGAGGAGTTCACTGAGAGGTAGACATCTGGTCAGATGCTCTAAATCATTAGTACAAGTTTCTGGAAGGCAAAGGAATACTTCTGTTTCCTATGTACTTTTTCCCATGTGAACACGGCAAAGGAAGGCAGATTCCTGGCCTTTCCACTCCTTAGAGTCTGAAGTTCTGAAAACCCAGAACAAATTTTATGCAACTTTGAGCCATAAATGCCAGAAAGAAATTCAGGTCTAATGGAAGACTCTGAAAAGGCGCCAGTACTTTGGAAGAAATGCAGACTGCCTGGATGGAATAAATCCCTCATTTGTAAATGGCATTTTTACATTACTTACAGGAATTCAAAGAAGCTGCTGGAGGACGGGGGGAAGAGTCAGAGAATCCTGTTAGTTTGGCAGGAGTTAGAAGTAGTTTTGTAAGAAACTCACAACTGAACAAATAGAAACAGTAGAGATTTTAGAGGTAATTTTAAAGCCTATTTCCATATTGATAAGCTATTTAATAAGCTTTTTCATACATATAAGTCTGAACAACCTGTCCAAAACTTTTAAACCCAAATGCTGCTACACTGGGAAACTTAGGTTTAACTAATGTATTATATTTTTTAACTCTTCATGGAACTCACGTAGGCAAAGACAATGGTATTTTTAAAAGTGCTTAGAGGGTTGATGGCAATCCTATCAGAGACCTAATCTTTACTATCAGTGGATGTAACATGCTTAAGATTACTGACCTTACACAATCAACTTACAGGGGTTCCTTCTGGTGGAGAGTACTGAATGTGGCAGACACAGACAGTACAACTTAAAAGAAGCTGCCATATAACCAGCCTGGTTTCAGAAGCCAATAGCACTTAATTCTTGCAATCTAATTATCTATTTTTCAGTGTTCAGTCTTCAAATTTTTGGTTAAGATGATTAAAGCAGGATAATTTACTACTTGAATGCCCAGAATACCTATGACTCTTGCCATGTTGACTGCTGCACTGGTGAGTCAGGTGGGTTACCTCTCTCTGCTAAAGATCAGGGGTCTGTGGTGACATTACAGACTTGGCAGCTTCCTAGAAAGGCACTGATAAACACATCTTCTGGTCTCTCCTACAAGAAACTGGACTGAGTAGGGGGGATGAGAGCAGTGTATTGACTGTTGTAAGTAATAAGAGGATCTTCTACTGGAGGAAAAGGGATGCCCTAAGAGCCCCACTAGCACAATGTATTCCATAGTTTTATCTCCTCCCAATAACACCGCTGGACACCTGGTTCATGTTACGGTAAAAAGTATAACGTAGCTCTGAGCAAACTGGCTACAACAAGTAAAGGCAGAGACAGTGCTGGAGTTCTGCAGCTCATCAGCAAGGGCTACGCAGCCCTGCCACTGAATGTAGCTGCTAGTCATTCCCAGCTTGAGCTCACAGTCCCAGGTGGTGCCAGAGAGAAGAGCTGCTCTCAACAACATCTAGTAATGTTTTCTTCTTCACCTTCATCCCATTTTTACACAGCCACAAGCACTTCTTAGTGAAACAAGATCCACTGTCATTTTACATTCACTCTTACTTATTAAATATTTTATTTAGTTATTTTTGAGGGCTATACTGAACTCTAGTATTACACAACTATTATTTCTGTACTCTGACTGGATGGCTCTGTTCTCCTTGTACCCTGCAAAGTTACAAGGAGCTGAAGCACTGTAATAAACAGCACTGGATTTACATGAACTGCCTTCCTACAGCCTGCCCACAGGACCTCTTAGGCACTGGAAACACAACTGTCTTTTCTGCAGGCAACACATATCTCTCTGGGAGCTTTCTCAGTTCTACCCTGATTATTCTGTCTTGTTGGGGACTGTACTGAGACAAAGCACATTCAGAACTGAGAGACTCACTTATTTTAAGGAGAGATAGCTCAAGCCTCAAAGCAACGACATGACTTGCAAGCAGCAGACATCCTGGAAGCAAGCCAAATGTCTTATCTGCCACTATGAAGAACACCAGTGAAGTGCTGTGATAACTCAAGATGAAAACATTGCAGAAATATGCACAAATATTGCAGCACTCTTTCTCTAGACTCCAGTTCCTCTCCCAACCCATTTTTCTTTCTCATTGTGAATGCAAATGAAGCTAGAAGCATGTGGAAAACATCTGCCCGTTACATTCTTAGCTGCCCATTTGGAAAAACCTTTCCTTTCCTATATTCCAAAACAGTGGAAGAACAGACTAATCCAGCTGTGGCAGGTGTGTCAATTTAGCCAATATGCCAAAAAGCAAAACCTGACCTCTGGTCTGCTCAAAATCTCTCTCTCTTGCTTGGTATCAATATTGCATTTACTGAAACTCATTAGACTGCTACGGGATACAGGATAATTCAAACAAAATAAAAGCTCTGGAAGATCATGGAAGGCTCCTGACACTCCGCACAAGGTATTGCACAAGAAACCAATTTGAAGCTGCAGAAACTGTGTAAATTTAAGCAAGATCCAGTCATTTTAGGAATTCTTAGCACAGTTAAGTCCATGCCTCAGTGCAGAAATAATGTCTGCATGCAAACTGCAGAATTTCTTCATCTTCCTTTTCCTGTAAAAGTATTTACATTTTATAATGCAGACAGCACACTGCAAGTAGAAGAAACCTCCTGGATGGAATAGCTGCTTTTTATTTTTCTTCTACAGTATCTGCCTGGTTTGCAGTTTCTGTAGAAACATTATCAAACACTAACTGGATTCTGAGTTTGACTGGTAACATTCAAGAGAGCTCTACGCCTGGGTGCAGGACTACCTGCTTATACTCTGGTTGACAATTTACCACTTGCTTTCACATTTTTGCCCCATCATCTTCTTGGATTTGTTCAACATCACATACTGAAAGACCAACTTCCCCCTTCTTACAAAATGCAAACTCATCTTTCTGTTGTATCCCTGAAAAAGTTACTTAAAAAGGCAATATCAGGATCCACTAAAAGCTTACATAGGCAGACACCAAAAGCACAGTAGTGTCCCGAGGAAACACTATAGTGACATCTTACAGGTAACTCTGCCCCAGACAGACCTTCCCCTCTTTCTCTCCTTTTCAAATTTTAAATGTATGATTTCATAAAAGCCTTTTAAATATGTAAAAAAAAAATTTTAAAAATAAAAAAAAATCATTTGGACTTTCAGGAATAAAACAAACAACAACAGTGAAATAGTAAAAGTCTTAACCTTCCAAAGAACACTCAACGTTCTGGTTAGAACAGGGAGGAACGTAGGAAATGTATGTGTTCAACATGATAAGAGTTTCCAGGAAAGCAGAATTTTTATTTATTTATTTATTTATTGGACTGGCAAGTCAAAATGAAAGTGCAACTGACTTCCAGATGAGGGTGTGGTGCTGAAGACAAAATGCAATGTGTCAGACCAATTCAGATCATTTCACTGAAGCTCATCTCAAACGCAGTACTTGCTACCAGTCTGCTGACAAAAGGTTAGTTTTGCTTTAACATTTACTGCTCTGTGTATTATGTGTGACATACTTATCTTAGTTACATAGAGAAGAGCTTGGATTTATTCTTAGTTAAGTTGACTTTACAGGGAGACATCATTTCACTAAGGCGCATGGTCATTTCCAGTCTTAAAATTAATTTGTTCAGTAGAAAAGAATACTGCTTAATTCATTAAAGAAAAAAAAAATGTTTGCTTAAACTGGGGATATTAACTTCACTCAAAATGTATTCATACAATCCCATGTGAAGTTTAAACACACAGAAATACTGAATTTGTATCGAAATGGAAGGCTAGAATAATTCTGCAAGAAAACATGCAAAACTGTCTATTAATTTATCTATTAATATACCTCCTAGAAAACAGTACTTGGAAAAACCAGCTGAGGTTCGGAGTTGTTTGGGTACTTGAGGGTTTTGTATGTGATAAGATTCCTTTCTGTGCCTAACTTGCTGAGAAGTCTCCAGCTGTAAAATGCTGTGTACCCACAGCACCTTGATTCTGTAAGAAATTCCATGTGGGCATAAGGCAGCTGTGTGGGATGGAGACTAAACTACGCCCGTTCCACTGTTCAGCAACAGACTCCCCTGCTGTGCTTTCTGTAACGGGCACATACACATGCGCCTGAGAAACAACATTAACAGGAAAGACAAATGTGAATAGGTACGTTAGCCAAAACATAACTATGTTTTTAAGGAAGAAATTGTTGCATTTTAGATAATTTTGTTTCTGTCAAGAACTCAGGTCAGTCAGCCAAAAGCATATCAGGCAGCAAAGCACATTCCTTGTCAAAGCCAAACCACTTTGTGATACACAGACTTCTTGAAGTTTGCACTGAAATGTTTATTGTTGTGCTTTCGAGCAAATCTGCCCGTGATCCAATTTGATTAAGCATTTCCAGGCGGGTTCTGTAATAAGCGTTTCAGATCACACACAAATCTTTTCAGTTTAAATTTTAATTTTCTTCTAATCTTGGCTAAGTGGATTAAACTGTCCCTGCAGCAGCTTCTCTTCTACTAAAAGAAGATGTATTTGCTGATGATGTCTGAAACTCTCCTCAAAGTACTATAGAGCTGCAAAAGATTACTGTTGCTGAAAAATCCTGCTAACACAGCTTGTTAGGCATAGAATAACAGCCTTTGCTGAACTGGTAAATAGAATTACTATATCTTTCCATTCTGCATACTTCCTTTAGGCAACAGTAAACAACTGATTACAAGACTTAAAAGAAGAATCATTGTTTGAAGTTTAACAGGAAGTGTTTTGGAATGTTAACAAAATAATCCAACAAAGTCATTTTAGATTTCATCCATTTCATCCTTCATTAAGAATGAAACCAAACCAAATAGTTAATGTCTAACTAACACACTTTTTAAAAAAAATTAGATATCAGATTCAACAGAGGGGCAGGGGGGGAAATCAAGCAAAAATAGAAATTATTAATTTCTTTCTATTTAATTGGTCTGTATCCCTGAATAAGAGATCAATCAGTAACTTATTTTCCTGGTAGACAGAATACATTAAATTTTTTTTTAAGAGATACTGTTTATAATAAAGTTTTGGCAACCCTGTATTTAAATCCTTGTCTAAAAACCAGAAATGGTATTCAGAGTTTTTTCAAGTTTGAAAAAGCCAAGCTTGAAAAAGCTCTGGGGCAAAATGTCAGGTAAGAATCTGCTTTCAGTAACACTGGCCTCAAATTCTGAAACACTGCAGATGAGAAAGAGGGAAGTGTTTTTCATTCTCAGCTACTTTTTGCTACTGCTGTTAAGAAATCTTAAACCCATTTATTTCAAGAAAACAGGGCACTGAATGACTGTAGTTTACAATTAAAAGAATTTCAGCAAATTAGTCAAAGGACACAAGAAAAGAAGAAAATACTGTAGGACATGACTTGCTTAAGACAGTCTGAAGATGCAAATGCTCAAACTGAACCCTAAGCTGGCAGTGAGAATACAGCTTTAGTGTTTATGGAGTAAATGTGTCACGAGATAGCACTTGAAAAAACAGCAGAGCTTCTGAGCTGTTTGGGTACTTGCGGGCAGTTTAGTATGTGGCAAGATTCCTTTCTGCCATAACATCCTGAGAAGTCTCCAGCTGTAAGATGCAGTGTACCCGCAGCAATTTGATTCTGTAAGAAATTCCATGTGACCATAAAGCAGCTGTGTGGGATGGAGTCTAAACTAAGCCTGTTCCACTGTTCAGCAACGGACTCCCCTGCTGTGCTTTCTGTAATGTGTATGTGTGCCCAAGAAACAAACAAGCACACTCTCTCTATATTATACTCATATCCCACATTTGCCAAAATTTATGATAGAAGGCACAGAATACTACTGCTTGCCTCTCAGCTTTAATCTGTTCATGCTCCTTACCCCCTCTATTGTAACAGCATTTACAGCCTTCAACTGGCACTCCTTTGCTTTGCAACTCCTTTAGAGGTGCAAGGTGTGATTTCAACCCTATAAAAGTCCAGACAAATTTATTTTGCAATGGAATATTGTTAAACCTAATTGAGAACAGTTTAAGTAATGATGGCTCCTCAACCAAAATGTGCAAGCATTTTGCAATCTCAAATGCTAAGGATAATGAAAGCATTTCAATTGAATCCATTTTCCTTTGCATTGCACATATGGATGTAGTCAGTTACTGCATTTCATGTGAGAGTTTGAGATGGTTTGTTATGCCTCCATCACTGTCTAGCTCTACGAATTATTCAGTATTTACAAATGGATTCTCAATATCCAGCTTCTTTAAACCTGAGATGTGTAAGCAACCCTGAGCAAGGGTTTAAGGTTTCAACAGAAATTTTAAAACTTAAAATCAGTATTATTTCTTTGGTGTTCCTTTCCCCCTCCCACTTTTTCTTTGTGTCTTGTAGCTTTACCATGGGCTGGGATATGAATAACTCAACTGATTACTGGACTGAGGATGAGGAGGATGATCTCAACTCTGTTATAGATTACAATACATACGAGCTTCTCTGTGAAAAAAGTGATGTGAGAAACTTCAGTAAATTATTCCTTCCTGTGTTCTATGCATTGGCTTTCACTGTCGGAGTCGCTGGAAATTCATTAGTGGTTGCAATTTATGCGTACTGCAAGAAACCGAAGACAAAGACAGATGTGTACATCATGCATCTAGCCATTGCTGACTTGCTTTTGCTCTTTACACTCCCTTTTTGGGCTGGAAACGCGGTGCAGGGATGGGAACTTGGAAACCCAATGTGCAAGCTCACTTCTTCTCTGTACACCATGAATTTCAGCTCTAGCATGCTGTTCCTGGCCTGTATCAGTGTGGATAGATACAAGGCTAGTTCTGAATCCCGAGGTCATAGAAGAATTGGTAAACACTGCAGTGTTACCTGCATCTGTGTCTGGCTGTCTGCCATTTTCCTCAGTATCCCTGAAATGATATTTAATCAAGTCAAGAAACACAATGACAGGAATGAATGCCTCCCTGTATTTCCAGTGAATATGGAAACACTCTTAAAAGCAACCATTCAAATCCTGGAAATTATCCTGGAATTTCTGCTTCCTTTCCTAGTAATGCTGATCTGCTATTCAGCTACTGCTCGAGCAATCTTTAGATCTGCAAATCCTAAAAAATCTAGACCTTTCACAGTTCTGCTGGCAGTAGTGGCTACTTTCATTATTCCCCAGCTACCTTACAATGTTGTTAAGTTCTGGCGAGCCATAGATATCATCTACATGTTGATTACTGACTGTGATGCAAGTAAAACCATAGATATTGCACTCCAGGTCACCAAGAGCATAGCTTTGTTTCACACCTGCCTGAACCCTCTTCTCTATGCTTTTCTGGGTGCCTCTTTTAAAATGCATATTATGAAAATTGCAAAAAATTATGGATACTGGAAAAGACAACAAGAGAATAGAAGACCTGAAGAAATTTCTATTAATTATGAAGACCATACTGAAGAAACAACTAGTTTCACTATATAGACTCTCCATTACTTTCATTATCTTATATAACCAAGGGAATTATTTACTAACTGTGGGGGTATTGTTTCAGCATCTGTTTCTCTGCAAGTCAACTTTCAGATGAATTTCTGAACCAGCAGGCTAGCCAAGACACTACAGTGCAGTTCAAAGTGGAATGTGTTGATCAAAATTCAAAAATCAGGCAAGAACTAAATAGTGAAGTTCCTAGAAACAACTAGAGATTTTTAATAAAAAACAAACAAAAACACCAAACACTGAAAAAAAACCCCCAAGATTTAAATTTAAAAGTGTCACAGTACTAGGCAATTAAATAGCTATACACGTTTAAACATCTAATTAAAGTAGAAAAAGAAACCATCAGCAATAAAACAGCTGTACAGGAACTTTTGTACCAAAAGTTATAATAATCTTATGTTTCTCCAACTATTTTACAAAACTTTAGAACATTTGCCCAATAAGTCAGTTCCATTTTTTTCCCCACAGACACCCTTCCAGCTTGAAATGAAGTATAAATTCATGGGTGAGTTGAGAGAAATGGGGGAAGGGGGGGGGAAGCCATTCTCTAAATGTTTCCACATATATATAGCAACAACATCCTCCACAAAAAAAACCCAGTAACTCCTTCAACAAGCCCAGTGCCCTATGGGAGGCACATTCTAGATCTCTGTAAAATGTTGTGTCAAATGTAAATGCCAAAGTAGTGCAGCCAAAGCATTAGCAGAAATCTAAGAAAAAGTTAAGTTAATCTTCAAATACAGGGCTTGGAATTTCTAGTCAGAATTTGTAAAATGAATCAAACACTGCAACAACTGTATTTGCTAAAATATATGGAGATACAATAAAATCAAATAATATAAAAAGTGCACTGGTTGTCGCTTACTAATATCTTTATCTTTGATTTGGATTTTTTTTTTCAGTAGGTATTGACATCTCTCATCATAGGCATTTATCAACCAGCAACAGCTAGAGGCCTTGCTTGATGAATGAGAGAGGTTCTGACTCCATATGGAGCTCGTGGTTGGTGGGATTTACAGTTTTCCCACAGAGAGGTATCAAAACTGCCCCAGAGACAGTGCTGGTGAAGATTCCAGGAAAACAGCAGTTTTCCATTACTCTCTGTGAGCATTTAAAATACACTGACATATTAGCTTTCAAAATGAAAAAAAAAAAAGAAGGTATTACAGCATACTGTCCCGCCCTTCAAACATCCCAGGGGCTCTGAAAGCCAACAAGAATTGCTCATTTTTAGACACTGTCCCTACTTACACAATTATGGACTGGAAGAAAAAGCTCTAAAATGACAGATGAGAAACAACAGTAGCATCAACAAGACACAAGCTTTGTGTCTTCCCTTTGTTTGGATGACAAAAGCTTACAGAATTTCTGCCCGGTATTTTGAGAAATACTAGGGTGTGAACAGATAAGTCAGAAGCACTTGACAGGTGGTCTACACATACACTATAAATCTGACATGTTTAAGCCATACTGGGATTTACTGTAGATGTGCAAAACACCCAGGCAGAGCATGGTAAGAAACTCTAGCTCTACCACGAAGCAACTGATTCCTTGCATGTGTGATTTATGACTTGTCTTCACAAACAGAGAGCAGTTGCACTCAGACTGACATTCTGACCAGGCTGTCAGGCTTCTGGAATTCCCAAACATCCAAGGTCCTGATGTCCCACTCAGAGTAAACAGGAAAAAAAACAAAACAAAACAAAACCAAACAAGGTACTGATGTCCCACTCAGAGTAAACAGGAAAAGACAAAACAAAACCAAAACAAACCCACAAAACAAAAAACCCCAAACAAACAAAAAACCCACTCAAAAAACCAACCAGACAGAAAAGGAGTTTGGCTAAGGCAGAGCTGCATGTACGTGTTTCTCAGACTTCTTGAAACTGGATCCCCTTTTGTACATCTGTCTTTATGCAAATCTGACTGTCCTAATTATTTTTATTAGAAATAAGACAAACCAAATCATGCTTACCCTCCTTTTTACAATTCAGGTAACTAATTTTATGAATAACATTTTGTTTGTGTGACCTCCTACAAACTTTCCCGTTGCTTGCTTAGGAACTGCAACACACACTTGGGAGACACTGACCCAGAGCAAAGGTAGCAGCCAGCAGTTAAGCAACACTTTCAGGTCAAAATACAAGATCTCATGCCTCCTTTTGCCACCAGTTTTGCAGTACCAGGAAAGAGAGAGAGCCCTGTCTTCTGGTGAGTCTAGGTATTGCACATGCATGTATCAGTAAGTAGCTGCCACACTCAAAGGTATATAAATGAAACATTCAAGTTTTCACTCCAGTTAGCAATTCAGTTTATTTAGCTGGCTTCCAAACTCACAGGGAATTATGATTTTCCAGTTGTTTTCATGTACATTTCAGTAAAAAAGTAATGGCACTATAATATCAAGGACATTTACCACTTAACAGTCTAATCCATTGATTTTTCTGGGAAGTACAGGATAAGAAAGTTACCTGTAAAAGTCAGTCCAAAAGCATCACAGGCTAGTTCGAAAAGCAGACAAATTTTACTTTAACTACACACAAGCTGCCAAAACCAAAGCTTAAAGGCTATGGCCATAAATGTGTAAGTTACCTGATGGAAAGAGGCAACATTTAAAGAACAATAGTAGCATTCATTCTGTGAATGAAATTCAGAGGTTCCAAAAAGGGCCCAAAACCCCCAATTGGATTTGAGTCTTGAACTTTGCTTCATAGAAGAAAAGCTCAGTTCAGCCCTTTCCATTGTTTTACATTGTACTGCCTTTACCCAAGAAGAGACAATCTTCCATCTCAGAAATGGAGCACAGATGTTTTTGTTTTATCAGTTCTTAGAAATAATTTTAGACTTAGCCATTCTTATTCAGGGTTTCTGTACTTACCACTGCTCCACCACTTTTTGCCATTGATCACATAACTGCTTCCATCTCGCTCAATGCTGCATTGCATATTGGTGGCATCACTTGAAGCCACATCAGGTTCTGTGTTAAAGAAAACAAAAAACCAACCACCACTGGATTAAAAATACAGGTAATACTAACTCCACAAATATAGGGATCTAGGTATATTCTGTTGATAGTAACACTCTTTTGCTCCCAGTAGAAAAACTGTTTTCAGAACCTCACTCTGCTGGTGGTTAAAGGCTTTCTATTTCCTAACAGCCTGACATTCATAATCAGTTTAAACTTACTTCTTATGCTCAGACCACTCTTTATAGTCAATAACCTTCTTCCTTCCCTGATGTTTTAAATCCTTCCCCCTTCCAATGTACTTACAGATAACAGTCATATCTCTCCTCAGCCTTTTTTTCCCCTAGGCTCTTCTCAAGAGTTTTTAAACTACTTTTGTGAGGTTTATGAAACAGGCTACACAAAACAGTTGCCAGCAAAACGTCATCAATTATTGTTTAGAACAGAAAAAAATTCTTCCTCTCTCCTTTCACCCTTAATTTCTTTCACAGGCCATCTTCTTTAAAGCAAAAGCATCTCTCTCCTCTTGACGAACACAGTGAAACAGAACTTGCAAAATAAGGATGCAGATCTGCAACACTGAGGTCTCTGAACTCCTGCTGACACAAGAAAGTCTAGATTTTGACATTACATGTTCAAAAGCTACCTTCCTAAATCAACAGCCAGGTGTTCCACTGATGCTGAATGCTACGAGCTTTCAAGAACAAAAATGAATATGAACGCTGAGCTACAGACATAAAACAAGAGCATCATATGTTTTACAAGTTATCTTCAGGTTATGTCTTAAAACCTCTACCTATGACATCCTGCAAAACTACACAACTTTAATCACAATAATCATACTTGTATCTACCTGTGCGTTTCTAGAGAACCCCAAAGCACATTACAAAAAATGTTAAGTTCTATTGTAAATCTGTTTGGTACAAATGTATTCTACTAGTACTAAAAATTATTTTAAAATATATAGAAAACAAATACTATTATTGTAACCACAAAAAATGGTGACTATCGGGGAAAGGCAGCAAGGATGCTTCACTTTGCACTCACCCCTCATACATGATTTCATATTCAACCACATTCACATACACAGTGGAAATTTCTGTATTAATTCATGATCACATAACAACTTGTAGTTTTGTACTTTTTGCATATGCCATGTGAAATTCCTGCCAATTGCCTCTAATTTTCTTCTAGAGAAAAAATTACCTGTCATGCAGAAGCAAGAACTAATCTTCCCTTCTAGGAGAGGCTCCAGCCACTCTTTCTTTTGCTCTTCAGTCCCATACATGTGCAGGACCTCCATGTTTCCAGTGTCTGTAAGAAATCAGCAGTCATGTCTACCTCTTGAGATGAAGAACTTGTGTGGTGTAAGATGCTCAACTTTTTTAAAGCTGTCAGTGTCCTGTAGTTATGGGACAGGGTTGCTAACCTGGTGCATGACAGTTGAAAATCTCAGGAGCAAAGAAGCATTTCCCCATCTCCTCAGCTATTAGCGCATAGTCAAGCTGGCTGAGACCGCTGACATCTGGGAGAAAAAGGTTCCACAGACCTTCTGCTTTGGCCATTTCCTATTGAAAAGAATCAAGAGAGAAAAAAATTAGCAATAAATCTTAAAAAAAAACCCCAACAAAAACCAAAACCCATAAAAAAACCCCCCAAACAATTAAATGCTGGCTTGCTGCCCATTTCCTTCCTGCCTAACATACTGTCCAATATATTCGATGTCTTTTTTCAATAGCTATTTTCAACATGTACAGTGTTTGACTTAAAAGTTCAGACATACCCCTCACAGAACTCACTTTTGCTTTTCTCTTCTCTCATTTGTATCTCTCACCTCCTTTAGCAGGCTTCCTTCTTCCTTCACTGTTTCTCACACTGTTTCTTTTCTATGCAGAACAACTTCTCAAGCAGGATATGCCAAATATTCTTACACTCTATGTGAGTGCCTGTTTGTTTTACTGCTACAGTGCTCAAGAATATTTACTCTCCCATACCTTCAGTCTTTCAAGCAGTGGGGGTTTCTTCCACTTTTCCTCAGTATTTCCATGTCTAGCATAGTATTTTATTATTTCCTTAGAGAAACAATTATAAAGATGGTTTTTAAATTAAGAATACATATAACGTACACAAGTAATAATACAACGTCTTTTCCAGCCATACACCCCAAGAAAACAATTAAATATTCAACGCAGGTTTTTATTATATAGTTCCTTGCATTATAAAATTAGAAACTTAATTGGAAATCAA